AACTTCATCTTCGAAAGACGAGGATCGCCAGCTCCCACGCATGTGCAGCAGACGACGTCAGCGTTGTTGAGAATGTCTCGTTCAGCGATCTTGGTAAGCTGTTTGTACTTCTTCTCATCCTGACTGGACAGCTCGCCAAGCTCGTTCTTCAGCTGTGAAAGTTTGACAAGCTCGCTGTTGTGCTCCGACATGCGCACTTGCTCATGAAGAGCCAAGAAGCTGACAGATGATTCGACATCCTCGCGAGATTTGGCTGTGAGACGAACAACCTTGAGTCCTGTACGGTGAACACGCTCGCAGAGTTGGTCGACGGCGACGTTGGAAGGTGCACAAACGAGAACCTGGTTTCCGCTCATCTTGGCTAAGTGGTAAATGATAGTAGCCGATGTGACAGTCTTGCCAGTTCCAGGAGGACCTTGAATTAAGCTCAGGGGCTTCTGAAGAACTGCCTTGATGGCACCAACTTGACTTGGATTGAGATCGGGGAGACCAGGGGCAGACCACTTCTTAGGCAGGTTTGTCTTCATGACCTGTAGCTGGACCTCATGACCAAGAAGCGTGTGGAAAATGTAACCAGATACACTCATGTCATCGACAGCAAATGTCTTCATAGCCAACTGCATGCGGTCATAAGAAGTCGCTTTCCAAACGTAGTCTGCTGAAAAGTTGTGGGATAAGTCAGTGGGTACAAGCTTTTCGTTTCCAGTCTTGCGCAACTCCAGGGTGACCTCATCAGACTGGTTATTCGGGATCTTGATGACATAACCAACCCCTTCCCATGGAGATCGCAGCTCGCCCTTGTAACGCAGGCGCATCTCATCACCAACAGCAAGCTTGACATCTCCGGATTCGATCTTGTGGAGGTTGAAGCTGACAAGATGCTTATTGTTTAAACCGTAGTCCCAACGCACGAGAAGTCCATCTTCTGATTGCGCTTCCTTTAGTTTCTTGTCATAGTCAGATTCCATTTTGACCAAAGGTCCAAAAATGTTTTGATAGTGGTAAGGATCGTCATAGTTTAGCAAGACAGGTTGAGGGTCGTCATCAATGCTGGCTGCCTTCTCAAGGTCAACTACTGTCGCCTTAGGCTCAATCTTCCACATCTCCTCCAGTTTGGCGATCATATTCGGTGTAAGGTGACGTGCTCGGAGCTGCTCGGAGTCGGATGGGGTTGCGACCAGCCAAGGCAGAAAAGCTCGTTCTTCGATGAGGGGTTGCCATCGTGATGTATCCCAGTTCATGTCCTTGTTGGAGGTATTGGCGGCGCAAGGCTGTCGGCAGAGAAGGACAACAACAGTATCGGACTTTGCTGGGATAAAACCTAGGAGGAAAGCATTCTTGGTTCCGCAGTTATAGCATTCGAGTACAGTGTCACCCAGCGTAGATTCAGGGTGAAGCTGAACCTCTTTGTGGCGAGCTCGAACGAGATGATTCACAATGTGGGTCGAGGTGCCGTTGCCTCTCGCACTACAAAACCATTTGTTGCAGGTGAGACATTTGACAACACATCCGGGGGAGTGAATGCCGCAGTAACTAAACCATGTTAGCCAGATTCAAATATCAAGGCCATAGATAAACCTACGCGCAGGCATGGGCCGGAAGTTCTTTCTCTTCATCCTGGCCTTTTAATTTGAGTCCCGTGAGTCCGTCGATCGGAACACTGTTCAGACTATCATTGTCGTCTTCTTCAAAAGCCTCGGTCTGGTTATCATCATCATCGGCTCGGCGGCGGCCATTACGATCCCCATATTTGCCATAGAGTAAGCTCTCGTCAGGGTCGATCGTGGAAAGGTCATCAGCTCCAGCTTTTATGGCAGCAGCGGAGTCGGATATCAAATGATTCCCAACATGGGTGAAGGCGCCCTCCATGTTGGTGTTCTGTTTAAGTTGTTGGTGGCTCGTAGAGTTTTTCTGCAAAGACTTATCAGCAGCTGAATGCCCCGCGTCAGGGCAAAGTAAGGGTGGCGGTGACGCAGTGGGCGATGACAAGGCTCAATACGCCCCTCGACAGCCTAGAAAGCGAGCGCGACTCACCTACAGCTGTTGTTCTTTCGGTAAATATCCGTATGGGAGGCCCAGGGGTGGCTCGGGTCGGATAGTAAAAGTGTTTGGAAGTTGCAAGTCGCTGGTAAGGCTCACATCATCGCGGGAACGAATGCGCCGGAACAAAGGATGGCCAGGCGGCGAGGGATATACTCGGAGTCAAGCGGGTTCGGCGAGTAGTAAGGACCCTCACAGAATGCACGTCACGAAGTTTGGCGGCAAGAAATTATGGCTTCTGTTGAACAATTATATCCAGGCGAACAGCTGGACCCTCTTTGCTAAGTGCAGTTGGTGGGACATTTTGCGCCCACGTGATAGGCGGCTTTCGTTATCACGTCCGCCTCGATAAGGAACTTTTTCTTGCTGCCGACTTCTTGAGTGGGAACGTACCTAGTCCAGAAATTTTATACATATTGCAAAAGCTCAAGCATCACATTGCAAAAGCGGGCAGACGCCACAACAATGATTGTAAGTTCCAACAGGAGATTCATTGTTCTCTCTATGAATATTAATTTAATTGGTATAGCGCAAACAAGCGCGCCAAAGGCGCGATTACCTCTATCGACGTGCTCTTCTTCTGAGGGACGCTGAGATCAGCGAGAAACGAGCCAAATTGAGATCTTCTTTGGCTTCTGGCAAGCCTTTAGACCCTTCAATTGCCAACGACAAGTCACTTCGCAAAGATTACCAGTATGACGAATCGCGGCCTGATCTCACCACCAACGAGCAGCTCGATCTGGACGATGAGTATGCTCAGCTTTCGGGCGTTGTCGATCCTCGTGTTCTTGTGACGACTTCCCGAGATCCCTCAGCTAGACTATCGGCCTTCGCCAAGGAAATCAGACTTCTTCTTCCCACTGCCGTGCGCCTCAATCGCGGAAACCTCATCCTGCCCGATCTAGTGCGCTCCGCCCAGTCAGCTGGCCTCTCCGACGTCGTCCTTCTTCACGAACATCGAGGCACCCCAACTGCTTTGACACTGTCGCATTTTCCCCACGGTCCAACTGTCTCATTCTCTCTTCACAACGTCGTTTTACGCCACGATATTCCTGGAAGCGTACGAGGGACAGTGAGCGAGTCGTACCCTCACCTCATCTTTGATGGCTTTACAAGTCGCTTGGGTGAGCGGGTAGTGAAAGTATTAAAGCATGTCTTTCCTCCCAGGGAAGCCATCACGAGCAAAAACAAGGTCGGCAACCGAGTTGTCACATTCAAGAACATCGAGGACAGCATTGAAGTCAGGCATCATGTTTTCGTGCGGACAGGATACGACAGCGTCGAGCTGGCTGAAGTTGGGCCACGGATGACAATGAGGGTATTTGAGATCCGAAGCGGCACCCTGGAGAACAAGGATGGCGACGTCGAATGGCACCTCACGCAATACACACGAACCGCAAAGAAGAAGAACTATTTGTGAGAACATCTCACATATCTCCAATAAGCATCAATCCTAATCGAGATGTCGTGCGATGGTCACCTCCTACTCCATCGAAATCAAACGCCACTTCGAATCGCAAGCCTAGGCAGCCTCTACGTTACAGTTGATCATATGATCTTGGTAACTTATTCAGTTAAAACACATCGTGAGCAGGGACGATACGTGATCGCGTAAATGAACTGGAATAAGAAATTGGCGTTTCGGAGTTTTACGATCCAAGATTATGAGGCGACGACCCTGAGAAGATGGCGATTATAGTATTGGAAGAACCGGCTTAGCCCATGAGCAGTGGAAGATGTTTATTGGCTTATGGTGACCAGCATCAGCACTGAGGTGAGAACGGTGACGAAAAAGACTCCAGGCAGATGCCAGCCTCAAGCTGAGTCCTGCCGAGGCGAAAAAGCCCTTTGAAACGAAACAGTTCTGTTTATTACACCGCAGCAGTTTGCATTGGAGTTATGTTAGCTAGCCGTCATCGAAACTACTTAGAACCGAACCATTGTCTTGGCGCTGTCAATGGAACCTTCAACGGCTCAGCCACCTTTTCTTGACCATGGGGAAGATAGGGAAAAGTTCAGAACAGAACACTAATGTTTTTTCTTGGTCACATTAATTGTTTCTTGTAAGTTGAGAAAAGTCTAAGATTGCTTTAATGGTTCATCGATGTGTTGTATATCCTGATTCTATTATAATTCTACTGCGATGATTTCCCGCCATGGTTTTCCCCGTGCCGTCCACCAATTTATAGGTCCGGCGGACAAGGGACATCAATGCTTAGCCTCAGTGAGCAGATGGAGATTCGCACTCGCAGTTTGTGGCCATAGCCTCAATGGCTGACGACTAGTAATCGCTGAATGGCGAATGGAGGATCACCGACACGACGAGAGACCCTTGAGCTGGGCCTGTGTATTTCTGGAAAGTTGCCCAATGTTTCTCTTCCGTGTTTGGTTCGAATGAACACCCGCCACTTGCGTACGCAGGCACCTAACGATTCTAGGTAGATCCGATACTGCCGGGGTTCGGTTTTAGAACCTCATACATAAGCCGAATGAATTCCCTCTCGGTCAGCAATTGAAACCTGAACTTGAATGATTCATTTTGTCAGATATCAAGGTCTAGTTGCCACATCAGCATAATCAAATTGGCGATCTCAATAAGCGAGGTGTTTTTGTTTACTCATTTCTCTCGACCCGGTTCAACCAAAAGATCAAGCTTTTTCAGACCCAAAACCTTTCGGGGCACCTACGTCACGTTCGTACCCGTTCACTGAAGGACCCGTGCTCAAAATCCACCAAAAACGCAAAAGTCCACAGACGCCACTAAGTTCTGGCGTTCGGCCCCGGCCCATATCGTCCAATCCACATTGATCCTAAAGCCAAGACAAACTAAAGCTCGGTCGGGCAGCTTCATCCCGTCACTTCTCACCACCAGCACCAGCCTTTTATTAGTGCTTTTGCTCCTCTCATCATCACCATCCATCCCCCGCCATTGCTTCCTTGTTCGAGCATAATTGATCACCATGTCCTACGATCAGTACAATCAGAACCCTTACCAGCAGGGCTCAGCTCAGGATAACTCCTATGGCTATGGCCAGGTATGCGCAGCCTTGTTATCCCCTGTCCCTTATGAACTGACCACAATCTTGCTGACCCGAATGCTGCGATTTCCAGGCCAATCCATATGCGCAAGACGCGCCAGCCCATGGCAATGACCAATATGAAATGCAGGATTATTCGCAACAGGCTACGGCTACTAGCTCAAGTCTTTCTCAGCAAGAATTCCTGAACCGCGTGCAGAAACTCCGCGATGAGATCAAGGGTCTGACTAACGACGTCGACTACATCGGCCAACTCCACCAACGCACCCTCAGCAGTACCGATGGGTCCGCCAACCACGACCTCGAGCAGTATGTTTCTCAGACCCAGATCCGAAACACCGCTATCAAGGACGGCATCAAGGGACTCGAGCGCGATCTTGCAAAGACCAATGACAGCTCCCGTACCACAAAGAACACCCAGTTGCAGTCCCTCAAGACCTTCTTCAAGTCAGAGCTCGACAAATACCAGAGCATCGAACGAGATTATCAGCAGCGCTATCGCGATCAGATTGCCCGTCAGTACCGTATCGTCAACCCCGATGCTTCCGAGCAAGAGGTTCAAGAAGCCGCCAACGCTGATTGGGGCAACGAGGGTGTGTTCCAGACTGCTGTGAGTAATTCTCCCCGGCGGCAATTAGCTGCTTTCTCGGGCATCATGGCTAATGAGCAATCCAGTTACGAACAAATCGTACTGGGCATGCCAGCTCCGTACTCGGTAATGTTCGCGCCCGCCACAGTGAGCTTCAGCGCATTGAGCAGACTCTTTCCGAGCTTGCCATTCTCTACCAGGAGCTCGCCACCATTGTCGAGCAGCAAGAGCCAGTTATCCAGGCCGCTGAAACCAATGCGATCAACACCGTCGATCACATGGAGAAGGGCAACGAGCAAGTTGAGGTGGCCAAGAAGCACGCCGCCAACCGCCGCAAGCTCAAGTGGTGGTGTGCCCTCGTCGTCCTGCTCATCGTCATCGCTATTGCTGTGGGCGTCGGTGTTGGTGTCACTGTAGCCAACAACAACAAGTAGAGGACTGGCTGATCATCTCAGACACCATTGCCGCTGTTATGATGCCGACGCTCTGCTTATTTTCATTACGCGTTCTCCCTTCATAGATATCTCGACGACGCATTTAAGTTCCCATTCTTCTACTTTTACCCGCAAGACCAGAGTATACGACACGTCTTGATCCGTATACCGCATCCCGTATTTAATTATTCTTCTTCCCTTGAGCGCTGAAGCGTTAGGGACCTTGTTGTTGGAGTCAGGGAGGAGAGGTTGGAGCTCACCTCATAAACCTGTCAGTTGTTAATGGAAAAATCCGGGTTCATGGGAGCTTTTATTCTCAGATGGTATTTTTGATTGTTTTTGTCTGGCGGCGTTTCATCCCTTTTGCTTCTCTTGTATGATTACTAGTCCGTCTCCAATACGACAAGACAGGCAGACAAGTGAGAGGAGTATCGCCATTGTTGTATGTATTTACGTTGGAACATGATCCAGAAAAAGTCCTGGAATGCTTGAGGCTATTGGAGTAGAGATTCCATGGTATTAATGTCATGACTTTTTAGGCTGTTCAATCATATGGGTCTACATACTGTGATTTTGAGTACCAGTTTCACAAAGTCATCGGACAGGGCTTGACGAAAAAAATACGACTCGTTTTCTTCCTCCAATGCACCAAAGATGTCCAAGCCTGCTGAGTACCTGCCCTGCGTCCATCCTCAAAAATTCCCGATATGCTGAAGAAAAACATGAGAGAAGCACTTATTATATACAGGTACAGTTGGGTTCAGTTGTGTGCATTATAGTCCCCAACTGCAGAGCATTGGACCTCACTTGCTGGTGAGGAAGCAGCTGGGTGAGCTCCCTTGGTGGACAGAGTGTGGTTATGTCCCGCATCCCATCCTAAATCAACGCCATCCTTTTTCTCGTCTGCTCCTAATTCGTACACTTTACACGCCATTGGCCAGTCATTGATTGGTGTTTATTTCTCGTACAACATTTATTGGGGGCCCATACGAAGGCCACCGGGCCCGGCGCCACCTGCCAACTTGGCTGCCAACTTTGGGTACTTCTCTGTGACTTGAACTTGTGTTCGGGTTGCCTCAGCATATGACAAGGCGTTGACAATCTCACCCTCGGTTCGAGCGAGTTCCGCCGCGCGCTCAAAATACTTGAGTGCAGCAGGAACGTTGTTTTGTTGAAGGAGCAGCTGAGCCATGGTAGCGACGGCGATATCGCACTCGGGGTCGACTAGGTTATTGTTAAGATGTTATTTGGTAGCATCGTGTAGGAGGATACTTACTGATAAGGGCCTTCTGGCAAAGAGCCTCGGCCTCCTTAAAGTCTTGCTTCCACTGGAAGAGGGCCAGAGCTTTGTTGATCAGGGGCAGGACGTTCATTGACATGGGCTTGGTCTGCTTTTCCATCTCCATGGCCGTGTCGAACTTCTCGACAGCTTCGGAGAAGTTACCCTGGTCGAGGAGCAATTCTCCGTAGTAGTTGTAGACATCAGGTACCTTAGGGAAGTTCTTAATACAACGTCGGAAAGTAGCCATGGACGAAGCGATTGAGCCCATCTTGTACTGGGTGACACCGAGTTGGATGTGGGAGAAGATAAAGTCCTTGTCAAGGTCGATCGACTTCTGGTAATCCTTCTGGGCATCGGCGAGGTCTCCTTTAATGAAATGGGCCTGAGCGCGGTGGTAGTAGACATCGGGGTCGTTCTTATCCTGCTCGAGAGCCTTGGCAAACTCAGCCTCGGCCTTTTCAGGCTCACCAAGCTCCAGGCTGATGCTGGCACGCTTGATGTAGCTCTGTGTCATAGAGGGGTCGAGCTCGATGCTCTTGTCGAAATCCTGTGTTGCTTCGGCGTGGTTGCCTAGCAAGGTGCGGAACGTACCCCTCATGTTATAAGCAAGCGCCTCATACTCACCCAGATCGCCGAGCTCCAGGGCCTTCTCAAAAGCCTGGCGAGCCTCTTCGTAGCCATCGCCAGTCTTCTTCTCTAAGGCCTGGAGTCCAATCTGCACCTGTCCCTTACCAGTATCAGGATCCAATTCTTCCGAGTCCTCGAGGCCTTCGGGACGAGGCTTAGGGCGGAAGCTTTGGAGGTAGTTGCCGACAAAGATGGGGCTGGGCAGCTTAGGTGGTCGGGAAGCCATCATCTCCTTAGCCTTCTGCTCGGCGAAAGTCTTGAGAAGTCTCTCAACAGCCTGGGCCGTGGACTCGCTCTTGAAGTTGTCGATGATGCATGAGGCAGTGAAATCGAGGAGGGCCTCGGAGTACTTCTTCTGGTGCTCGTAGGCAGTAGCACGGCGGTTGATGGCCTTGACGTACTCAGGATCCATGTTGATAGCGGCGGTGGTGTCCTCGATAACCTGGTCCCATTCGCTCATAGCGCTGTGGCACGCTGCCCGGTTGGAGTAGAAGACAGGGTCGGCCTTACAGAGGATGGCTTTAGAGTAGAGGTCGATAGCCTTGTTGTATGACTTGTCGCCGTAGGCCTTGTTTCCAGCCTGTTTCAGCTTGGCGGCATACTCTTCACGCTGTTCTTGGGTGAGGCCAGAGACAGTCTCTTCATCGACCTCGGGCAGCTCGGGCTCGCTCTCGGCAGAAGCAGGCTTGGGTTGAGAGGGGCCAGCTGAGGGCGCTTCTTTATCAGCTTTGCGATCGGCTTCCTTTCGCTTTCTCCTCTCCTTCTTGCTCAGCTTTGGTGTTGTGTCTTTGCCGCTCTGCAGTTTCGAATTGGAAAGTTAGTCAAGGTTTGTTCCTTATTAGTGCTGTGATATCCGATACAAAGCCGCAAGGTGCCCGCAAAAATATCCGACATCATCAAAATGAAGACAGTGGCAATGGCACATACGTTATCATTGAGGTAGTAAATAACACCGGCACCTGTAACAGCAATACCAACACCAGCAATGGTGTAGACGACAGTCTTGTTCTCAGAAGCCCAATGTGTTAACCGCTCCCAGAGGCCAGATGAAGAGTCGACGGGTACGTAGGTTGGCTGGCCTGGAGCCATTGACGGAATTGGACCCGACATTGCGAAGCCTATGGGTTATTGAAGGGGATCGGCGTAGCGGGGGGTGATAATGGAAGCGAGGCCGTCGATGCGGGATTGAAGGGAGTCGGGAAGCCGATGATGTATAGGCGCAGACCGGAGCAGTATCACAGAACCAGATCACAGTTGGTAGCTTCGGCGGGCTGGGCTGGGGCACGCGCAGAAAAAGCTGACGGCTCTGTTTGAAATTTGGCGCGCCAGCAGTGGAGGTTCACGGGCCGGGTCCACTGAAAGTTTTTCCGATCAGCACCAACTTTAGTGAATTTGGATGCCCAGACTTTGAGGTTGACAGTGACGCTATGTGTTTGGTGACGTCCTTCTACCCTTATGCCTGAGGCACGCAAGCGACACTAATCTCAACGGGCAGTACCTATGTACACTCAGCTGGGCAATTCCTATCTTCCTTTGGCTTGAACTGCAAACTGAGATCCATGGTTTAGAAGCCGGACGTGGTTTATAATCCCTGGCGGTCAACATATTGACCTAATTGTTCTGCTCTCCCCGAGATCCCTGTCTTGATTTTGATGTTTAGCGGTCTGCCGATTTCTGCGAATTATGAGGTGACATGTTGCGGGGATTCTTTCATGATTCGGCACTCTCCTACATGAGATCGATCTAGAAAGTCCTTTGGCGATAGAAAATATGGAGGCGCAGTGAACACATGCATGTTTAGGCATGAATACATAATGCTTGGCTCTCGAATACAGATCTTGCCAAAACAGTCCCTTGCCAAAATTTGGTATGTGCAACATATCATGATTGGCTCTAGTGCCTTGACAAAGTCTTGTATCTAATTCCCAATCAGAGAGCGGCTTTTGCATCTGAAGGCAATCAATTCTACTACATCTCATTCATCGAGATGGGAAGATGTTGATGGCCACCAGAAAGCCTTGCTTGCTCTGGTGTGCTGCTTCAGTTCAATACGAACTCCATATTACTAATTTTGCCCTACTTCCTTATCTTTAGGTATTTAATGGAACAACTTTAGCTACCTATGCAAATTGGACAACCTCCTTTCAAAACTTGGGTATTCCATCCAACTAACTCCAAAACATGCACTAAGGAAAATGTCTGACGACTTCTCCATTTTCACCTCTATGAGGTACGACGCTAAACTTGCACAGCTGAAAAGTCAGGGATGCAGTGGTAAGGGCTGGAACTTTGAAAATAACTCTCCTCTGTACATGCTTGACTTTCACCGCGATCGACTCTTCAAGGCAGCGATACATTGGGGATGGCAGTCCACAGTAGATCAACTATCCGGTGTCGATGGACTGTCACATCTGGCTCAACTCATTGCAAACTGCGTTGGACCATCTCATCCAACACCTTTGAAACTTAAAATAGTCGTGTCTCGTCAAGGCGACATCAATATTGAGCACTCCAGCACACCTGAGGTTCCCATACAGAACCTCTTACCAGCTCGCCTTCCAGACCCTTCTCGTCCTTCACAGGAAAACGAACCCCAGAAAGGTTCTGCCTATACTCTTCTCCTGGATCGGGTTTCAACGGCGAGGTCCGAGTATACTCATTTTAAAACTACAAAGAGGGCCATGTACGACGCAGCCCGACAACGTGCTGGTATCACTTATGCAGATCCCGTAGAGATCTTGGTCGTAAACCAAGACGATGGTTCTGTAATGGAAGGGACATTTACTACGCCCTATTTCTGGAGGGACGGCCGTTGGGTTACACCACCCGTTGCAGCCCAATTCAGCTGGGAGGAGGGAAATGGCGGACAAGATGGAACCTCGAGACGTTGGGCATTAGAACAGTATGTGTCCCTGTCAGTCAATGACCAATAAGAGTCTCAATGCTGATCTGCAACTAGAGGACTCGCCTCTGAGCAAGTTATCGATTCCAAATCTTTGATCCATGGCGAAGAATGTTGGATTAGCAATGGTGTCAGAGGGTTCATTCCGGCAACTATTCGGCTCCTTTGATTAGAGAAGGTCAGGTCAACAAGTCGGGAACCCCGTTGATAGCCACCATGGCTTCGTATATGCTCATCTGGTGGCAAGTTGGTTATGGACACAGTTTTGGCCATGTATTATTAACATTGTGTTACAATGCCGCTTCAGCCGCAAACAAACAGGGCAACCTACTATTGGTGTACCTTTACATATTATACACGCCAGATATATCTTATTGGTCATCGAGATTTACAGCTCTTTGCGATTGACTCTTGATGATAGCTGAACCAAAACGTGCTGCATACCACTGAAGACATCAAGCATATACTCAACTTTTATATCATCAGTGTTGTCTTCTTCTCACACACAAATGGGGCCACTGTTATTTTGGTTTGACCTATCACTGACCTCGAGTTCTTCTTTTTGTAAGCACTGACGGTGTAAATCATATGCAGTTTTCACTTATCAATCGAGTTGGAAGGATAAGGGATAACGCAGCTAGCTGTTGGCTTCTGAAACAGCCAAGAAATCCCGATTGCCTGTGGCCGGTATTGACTTTTGCACCTCATCTAGACTTATTAGACTAGCATTATTAATAGAGGACTGGTTAGGTCCCTATGTTGTGTGACACATGAGGAAGCTTAGTTAGATCAGATGGCAGTGAGATTTCCTGCTAGTCTTTCTTTCAATTAAGATGTCACTATCTAAGGTTGGCGATTTGGAGGTAATTTGATTTCTTATCGTTAAATTCAGAGTATGGTAGCTGTTGAACCTCGAAAAGCCAAACGTGTGAGCATAATGGTTTGGTATAGGGTAGCGCATGGTCAGAGAGCAACTTTACGAAAACGCGTCGTCCAAGAAGCTTTAACAATACATTCACCCACCCCTCCCCGCAGCCATGGAAACGACGCCTTAGTAACGGATATAACCTACCTTCGACTGAGGTATCAATATAATCCGCAGTTATAGCATTGAAGGCATCTATACTGGGCGCGGTTGACCTTTGTCGTCTCAGTTGTCGTTTTGGAGGGTAACACAAAGTGCAAGTCACTGGGCGATCCTGAATAACTGTACAGGTGAGACAAAGTCAAAGCTTGCAATCGCGAAATCGCAGGTAAAATGTCGAGACGGTTCTTTCGGGAGTCTTTCAACCTGATCTCGCCACTTGGGAAGCTATAAATTTACACATAAATGTGTTGCCCAAGCTCATGTTTTGATGCTAATGAGGAAACCAGGCCCTGCTATTATGGTTGACACGAGGCAATCTGCTGAAACTTCACTATTCACCAGCTACATTTAATCAAAACACTATTAAGCGCGACTAGCAATGGCCTCCGGAACTCAAGAGTCAGCTATTGCTGAAGGCCGCCAACTATACGGCGCCAAGCAATACAAACCCGCTCTCAAGCAATTTACCAAAGTACGAGGCCAATAGTGCACAGCCTACCTGTCCAGTTGCTGACTATTCACACCAAGGCAATGCAACTGTGCGTCTGTACTCGACAAGAGAAACGGCCACGATGTAGCTGCAAAAACTTCGAAAAAGTTGCTTCTGAGGGTGGTTCCATCTTCAACGAGGCCATGTACACCTGTGACTGCACGGTGCGCAAGACGTTCAGCAAATGTGATAATAAGCTACATATACAAGCCCTTGACTATCGTGCCGCAACATTTGAAGAGATTAAAGAGCTTGAGAGAGCTCAAAAGGATGCCGAATGGATACTAGAGCTTGCACCAAGGCTTCCAGATGTTTGAACTCCCCCCCCAAACACATCTCGGCAGTATGCTTACTCGTTCAGGGGTATTTACGACTAGGCAAAATATCGCGCCTCCAAAAGAAATATGAATTTGCATGGAAAGTATACACTGCTGGCATCGAAGTGGGAAATAAACACCGCCTTGCTGAATTGCCCAAGTTTCAGGTAAGGAGCTGTTTGCTTGATGCGACTGTGAATGAATTTATTTTCTGACCTGATGGTAGAAACTCCGAGCCGCAAGACAACCATTGCACATACGATTCTATCGCCGAGACCCTTTGAGGAACCCACAGGAGATTGTTCAGCGCATCTTCTACTACCTCGATTTCGGGTCTCTCGTCCGATGTACTGGTGTCTCCAAGGAATGGAGGCGGTACCTTACTAGTCATGGCAATGAGAGGCTCTGGCGTACCTTGTTCTTCAAAGATAAACTTGCTCACGACCGGCCCCCTGGCGTGAAGTCACTTAAGAAATTGATATCCTTCTCCGGAAACGATGTCCGACAGATCATCGTCGAGGATATATCTCGCTTTAGACTCACTCAGCACAAATTAGTTGCCCTATTGCAAGGGTCAAAGAATCTCGAGCATCTTGAATTGAGGGGTTCCACCGACGAAGACCTAACAATACCGGACGCGAAGAGTATACTTAAAAAGCTGAATCATATCATTTTGCAAGATATAACCATCATGAAGCCTCAAATCATGGTATCACTCTTACAACATGCCCATGAGAGCTTGCAAACTCTGCACATCGATGGCTTACCTCAAATTGACTCATCAAGCGAGACTTTCTTTCCGCACTTACCCAACCTTCAGTACATGCGGCTTGAAGAGCCCCGAAGGCCGAGCCCTTTCAGACTGCGCACAGTGAGTGATTCCATTCTCCGAAATCTTCAGCGCACAACTGACTGGATGTAGTGGCACCTGGCCTCAAAGACGCCGCGCATGCAGCAACTATATTTGAAAGACGTTCAGCTTTCTGGGGAACTTCCCCCAGATGCCAGACTGGACGAGTTTTGGCCAGAACTCAAAGCGGTTACAGTACATGGACCCAACGATTCTGACCTTAACACTGCACAAACAATCCAGCAACTAACTTCGCTACGCGGAGGTCGCACGCTGCAATACATTGATTTTGATTTTCGATGGAGACCCGATGATGAGGGGCCCCTTGGCCTGATTATGTTGTCCGAGATACTGAATCGAGAACCCGAAATGTTGGCCACCGATGGGTATACCAAGCACTGCCAGTATTCAGATCTCCGGTCGTTACGTCTCCGGCGAGCAATGGTACCACCATTAAAACTTCAAAAAGTGCTTCGCGACACCCTCACTTCGCATAAGCTCCACACTCTGGATCTTGCCTTCCCCCTTGATCCTCAAGGCGTCCTCGAAGGATCTGGCAGCACCAAACACATCCAAGATCATGCCTGGCTGCGTGGAGAGCCGGCCATCAGGTCTATCGGACTTTCAGAATTTCGATTCCGCTTATACCCCAAGACCATCGACGAGATGTATTTGCCGAGTTTCTTAGCCAGCTTCCCCAACCTCGAGATTCTTGAAATCAACTCGTCGCATTATGAGGCTCGCGAGTTGTGCATTATGATCGAAGCGATACTTAAGGTTACCCACGTACAAAAGATTTACCAGAAAACGATTCATGGGGAGTGGGGAGACAAGCTTCGTAAAGTGACGGGTATGCACGGAGTAGAGCTTATTTGGGGTGACAGGCCAAGGGAATGGCCGCTGAAGATAGATGATTAATCCCACTCACCCCTACTGAGGTATTGTATTCAGAATATAGCTTTGCCTTTGCCATATGAGATACACGCTCGGGTTGCTGGTGAATCATCTCGCAGGCTTGCGATTCATGGATGTCGGCACTTTCAAGATCCCAGTGTTGCACACAAGATAACATGAGACGAAATATCTGACATACTATCAACCACTTATCTTCCAAATGCACTATATCGAGCATATTGCTTTCTCTTTCGAGATCAACCCCAGGACTTCTGTGTGGACGTTTCATACCCCGATCTAAGAACAACAATCCCAACGCCTGCCCTACAAATATGCATTCCAAAGACGGCAATGATAGCTAGGATACATACCTTAACCAGCGATATTTATGGCTTAAGCTCTGCCAACCTTGAATGACAAAACCTGCGTGTGCTTTGTTAGCATGAAGTTTGTAAAAAATGACGGATCATGACATACATCATTCTTGCCCACAGCTACAAAATCGTCTTCAGATACTCGAATATTTCCAGCCCCTTCGACAAAGGCGATAGGTGCATCTCCCATCACTTTGCGCGCCACGTCACCAACCGTGCTGCCTTTCTTGACAAGAACACAATCACGAAAAACAAACTTGGAGTCTGATGCACCAGAACTGAAGGTGGAAGTATTCCGGACGGGGAAAACGGGTACGAGACCAAGGAGCTCAGCGGCTTTCGAAAGGACTTGAACGACACCGGTAGATCCAAAGCGGTAAAGTACCATGTCCTTGAGGTTCTCGATACGGTTACGATTTTTCTCATCGAGATCTTTAAGACCACCGCCAGTCGGGTCGCCTTGCTCTATAAGATCCTCCTTGGTGTCAATAAATTCGCTGCCTTCGACATACTTGATGTAGCCCTGTTTAGCCATCTTTCGCAAGAAAATTTCCGAGATGGCTGAACACAGCACGATGGTATTAGGGTCTTGCTGCTTGGCGATTTTGGAGATGTTCTTATCAGCGTCGGGGTGATCGATTTTGTTAAGTGCGATGACCGTAGGGAACTTCTCATCAATGAAGGCATTGACGACCAGCTCTACGGTCTCATTGGACCAGTCCTCCAGGGGCTCCTTGATGCCGCAACGATCAAGAGCACGGTTCACAATAGTCGATGTTGCACCATAACCAGAGAACTGCGCTTGCAGTGTTTCTGTAGCAGTTGCCTTGATAGCCTGATGCCTTCGTCGAATAGATCCCCATCGTTGCATGAGATTGCCGAGAACCCAAGCAACGATCTCGCTTCGTAGCCACGCAATGTCCACGGAAGGATCATACCCTCTTGTCTCCTTTCCTTCAGCATCGACAGTGCCCGAAGCATCGACAACATGAATTAGAGCATCAGCATGTCGTAAGTCATCGAGAAACTTGTTCCCCAAGCCCCGGCCCTCGTGAGCACCGGGGACGAGGCCAGCAACGTCAAGAAGTTCAATAGGGACAGAACGACGGCCCTCAACGCAAGCTCCATAATTTGGTTTGCATCTGTCTGATACGTTATACCGGGAACAAGCACATTCGATCTGAAGATAGCCGATTGCTCGCTGGGGATCAATTGTGGTGAACCTAGAGGGGTCAGCTCTCGCAACAACCACGAACTTTCAAGAATGTAGGCTCCGAGATGCAGAGCATCAAAAACATGTAGTATGAGACAAGGGCGAAGCATACGGGAAATTGCCTATTTCACTCGCGATCAGCGCCAAGTTCCGACAGCTTTGGCCAGGGTCTTTCTACCAACCAACTTTGGACGTAGCATCAGTCAAGCTGTTGAGCGTAGAGCTCTTACCAGCGGAGGGCTTTCCCACCAGGCCGATGAGAGGATCGCGAGGCATATTGAAGAGGTGTTCTGCTCAGTCCAAGGACTTGATAGAGGCTCGACTAAGGGCCAAGTCGCTAGATTCAGCCCTAATATATAAGACAAGGGTTTGCTTTCGTGGTGAGAGTCCAAGACAATATCTACTGATTCGGAACTTGTCCTTAACGAAATAATGGCAGAATGCTAGAGTACTACCTGATCCTTCTTTATGCTCTCAAAAAAAGGGAAAGGCTCTACCGTCGATATTGATAGGAAGGAAATGAATGGATGTGACTTCAGTTTCATCAATCACATCGAGGCCGCTCGGCGCAAAATTAGTTCTCGGCCAAAAGAGGCTGAAGTGGGTCGGATTTCTGTGGTTGGTGGTAATAGCCCGGATATGTTTGAACCTGCCCATTCGTCCAAAGCTTGTGACAATCGCAGTAACCTACATTCTCTTGTTTAAAGAGCTATTTCCCACCTAAACTTATCCCGGGCTCCCCCTTTCAGACCATGTTTTCAAAATCAACCTTATCAATCGACATTTTCCCCACGTGGGCACGCTTGAATGATGTGGAATTTACCAACGCCAAATTGCAAGAGATGGATGGAAAGGGAATTGGCTTGGTGGCTACCAACAACTTGACGACAAGTATGGAAACACGGGGAGTTGAAGGAGTGGAGGACAGACCAGAGAGAAAGGACCAGGTGTGCAGTGCAGATGGGGAAAAGGACGAAAGAGCTAGAGTTGAGACTCAAGGACACGCCAACAACAACCCAACAAAGCTACTACAGATTCCCCATGATTTGATCCTTTCAGCCGCTTCCGTCGAAGAATATTCGAAGGTCGACCAAAATTTTCGTCAACTGCTGGACTCTGCAGGGCATCAGGTATGACGCCAGACCAGAAGACATTTGTTCTCTGATACAGCAACAGCCCTAGGCTGCCTGGGAGCATACATCAACAGCCGCTAACTGTACCACATCAAAGTCGACCCGAGCAGATATTTTGATATATCTCTTGGCACATCTTGTTCTCTCCAGCCGAGATACTTCAAGCCCGAGAGACCTTGCGCCAACACCATGGACAGAGTACCTGAAGTTTCTGCCTCGTGATATCCCTGTCCCAACAATGTGGTCGGAACTTGAGCGAGCTCTGCTCCAGGGCACTTCGCTAGAGGTAAGTGTTCCCATAAATACGCGAGCATATCCAGACCTGAGGGTTGCGGAACCGCAGGCTCTTCGCTGGATGAGAAATTTCCCCGCGACGGAATAAAAGGACCCTAACTGCACTGTAGGCTGCACTGGACGCTAAGCTCTCAGCTCTAAACAAGGAATTCGATGAACTCATTGAAAGATCATCAGCTCTTCCGTTTTGGAACTCGTTCTTTTGGGAAGGAGAGGCGGTGACTATTGATGATTGGGTGTTAGTTGACGCGTGGTACAGATCTCGGTGTCTGGAACTACCAAGATCTGGGCATGCCATGGTTCCTGCCCTTGACATGGCTAACCACTCGTACTTCCAAACCGCTTACTATGATGAAGACGATGAAGACAACATTGTCTTACTCTCTCGGCCTGGCATGGAAATATTCATTGGAGACGAAGTGAATATATCTTACGGAGAAAAGTCACCTGCAGAAATGATTTTCAGCTATGGGTTTATTGACTGCGAGTCTACTGTTGAGGGACTGACTCTACCTCTGGAGTCTTTGGCCGATGATCCATTGGGAAAAGCAAAGCTCCACATATTTCGAGGGTCACCAACTCTTAAGCTATCTCGATCAGATGGGGAAATAAGCTGGCAATGTCCTTTCGTCTACTTGATGTGTCTGAATGAGGAGGATGGTCTTGAGTTCAGGGTCCTCCAAGGAACAAATGGAGAGCGGGAGCTAAGGCTTTTCTGGCAGGAAGAAGATGCCACGGCTCGAGCGAATGATTTCGGAGATCTCATCAAAAACCACCCCCTCTGCCAAATCTTTAGGCTCCGAGCTGTTTCGGTCTTGCATGAAGTGGTAACCGACCATCTCATGCAGCTCTCCTCCGAGATTTCCCATGATGAACTTGAGCCGTTGCGCCGGGCCGGACAGATCAGAGATGGCCGCCTCCAACTGGCACAAAAGCTTAGAAAAATAGAGGCCAGTGTGCTTGAAAGCGCTGCCGTAGCTTTGGATGAACAGGTATGTACTGCCATATTTAATTTCATTTCAGCACATTCATTCGAGACCGATGAACCCATGTCGGTGCCAAAGTCGATAAACCGAGTGGTTCTGGAGACTGTGACTTGCCACAGCTTGTCATTCAGTTATCTTATTTTTCGAATTCCCATGTTTCATGCATGCGGTCCTGGCCAAGCAGCACTTGAACCAAACAGTTCCCCAGATTCCCCAGACACTCCCCCGGGTCCTCGAGTGCCAGGGAACGTTCTCCGCATTCTTGGCTTACTAGCCTACATGTCCCGAAACCTAGCAGGAGGTGCTCGGTCACACACCGAGCTTTCTTTACACATTTTCAATACGTCTTGTTGTACGTTCCAAAATGAGTAAACGACTAATGAGGTGCGTCATCGGGACGGTATAGAGGACCCATCTTTTTGCGGACGACCACGTGGTAGCATATCTCGGATCGATGGAAGCTTCCCAAGGCAGGCAAGCGTTTCAATCAGGGACCAATCAAGAGGAGGATTTCAGTTGACTGAAGCACATACCTTCCATGCTCGTCGGCCATTGTTGAGCATTACCATCCTGGGATTGTGGGGTAGTCGGCAATTGCTTCACCTGCTTGCCATTTGTCACCACGTCCTTGCTTTTCCCTCTCCATAACATGCATGAATGGCAGCCTGTGTGACGAAGCTATTGCGAAATCATCCCATTATCATTCGCGTCAGTTTAGAGAATTCTCAACTTTCCATTCACCTGCTGTTTCTCTCTGGCTCTTGAGAGCACAGGAGCCATGTGGTACTTAGACCATGAGCATGCTTTTGAATAAGGCACCAATATGTCTGCACCTCCCGAAGTATTCTCGTTCCGTGAGGTAGAATGCGATGTACCCTCTTTCAACTTTTTGGACTAACTAAAGCTAAAACTCGAGATGGCATCAACTGAGATTCGGGCAAACTCCGTTACCGAGAGTCCATTGCAGGATGAATTAATTAGATCAATACTGGGGAGGGCTTCCTACCTCTTCTACTTCCCTAGTTGGCTATCGCTGGGATTCGCGAAAGCATCTGTAATATTTTCGTTCAAGGAAGCTGGTATGCGTGTAAGCAGAGAAATAGTTGTGCCATACTTTGAGAAGATGATAAAACCCTGACTAGCCAGTGAAGCCAGATGAATCAGAACCTTTCTAACTACTCTACTTCTACGAAGCAGGAGTATCATAAAAGTTCTAGGTACGCAACATGAAAGCCGTTCGATTCATCCGTCACCAAGATTGTCGTGGGAAATTGCGTCCCTCGGTTCAATTGTGCGGGTCGAGAACAAGGTTAATCGAGATTATCTACCAGAAAAGAGAAACACACATCCTTTCGGTTTCCCCAGATGTTCGCCAGGTTCAGATCCCGTTGAACGTGATCTACCTCCCGGGCGGTTCTCGTGGAGAAGCGCGGAGAAAATGATACCACAACAGTCGTGCAATACTTTCACACCTCTTTCTACACTAAAGACACGCCATATTGCAGAAATTCTCGACATCATGGCATATGCACTATCCTTCCTCGCCTAGTTGCACAAATTACCACGGAAGCATGGAAACGCCTTCATTTTTCTACCGCATGCTGACTGTAAAAGAGGGACTCAGGAACATCAGTTTTCGCCCGTTAACAAGCTGGCAGTGCTTCAGAGCGATGTGGATCTGGATCGAAGAGACTACAAGAACAGGGTGTTGAGGGGAATCACGGGCATAGACGCGTTGCGGCACGAATCTTTCCACTTGAGTAGTGGAATTTTTTGTCTAGCTACGTAGTATATACTGTATAATATTACTGACACTGGCGTAAAGAAACATCATCCGTCTGACCAGTTGGGCTGGCGATAGAAGTGGTGATGGCAACCTGTGAGCGACGTCTCCTCAGGCGAGAAAGCTTTGAGTTCCTGATCAGAAATTTCACTCTAGCTTCCCAAAAACAATGTATTTACAGTGCGCTAAAGAGACAAGGTCATTCATGCCGCCTACAACTCAAGAAACCACAATCAATATGACTGGGCGTCTATTCATGCTTGGGTATCGAGATTAATGGCATTGACCCCTCTCGAGGATCCTAAAGAAGGACTTTTCATTAGCTGAAAATTCCCGCCCGTAATTAGAGTCAAGCATAGCTCGGGTTAGCTAGGTGTTGTTGAGAAATGAAGCTTGTATTCCAACAGGCTCGTCAGTTTCAAAGCCCAAATTCAAGACAGGTCCGTTTGGACTAGGACTAGGACCATCTCAGAGTACGCGCTAAAGTTAGCTGCGGATCAGTGATCTGCGACAAGTCAACGACTGCGGCTCCGAGGTGGGTCTTTTGCGGTTCCCCCAGGGCATGAGGCTTGAAGCTAAGCCAACTAGAGGAGAGATTTCAGGGCTGACAGTGTTTGACATGCAAGTCAAAGACGTGGACTGCTGATGGTTGTGCTTCGAGATCAACTGGAAGCTCGGGGCGCATGGCAATAGGGCCAGCCGGGGTGGGCTAAGAGGTCCGTTAATGAGGTTTGACTCAGCTCGCGTGAGCGAATCCGCAACCCAGTCAATGATTTCCTCTTCACCTAACGCAGAGTTACACCGGAGGCTTCCACCGCGGTGAGTATACCGTATACCACAATTTCTTAGTGTTAGTTGGTCCTTGCCTTGCGGAGCTTTCAATTTGCTAGCCTCCCTTACCTGCGTTCTCTCACCTGTGCCGCAGTTATACAGTTCCATTGTTTACAGATACGGGTCAGAATAGCAGGATCTGCGTGTGCGTGTTCATTAGTTGAGTCGGGAGCACTATGAGAAGGACGTGGTCGCTAAGGTGGCTTCATGGCCAGCCACATCTCTCATCCAATCCATATCAACTTCCCC